ATATTTTTCAAGAATATTCTGTATATTTAATTTGTAATTTAATTTTTATAATCTAGACATTTTTACTTTCTATATATGGTATATATACTAAAATATTATAATTGCGATAATTTTACTATTATATATGTGTATATATATATATATATATATGTATAGATAATACTATTATACAATTTTGCAAATTAATTTACTTTAATTATCTCTAATAAATCCTGTGAAATGCTTTTGCATATACATATATATAGATATATATATTATATTATAATAAATTTATTTAAATAATACATTTGGTTAACACGGTTCATCTATACATACACTATTAAGATTAATTAATTAAAATTACAATGCCATCGGTGTAGATAATATCAAACAGTCAATTAATTCTGCCTATATATATGTTTCTCGCAGTACTCTGGTGCGTTAATATTGCGTGTTCTCAGGAGAATCAATGTAAATTGCCAGCAGCGCGTTTATAACGTATTGAAACCAGAGTTGAAACCAGAGGTATCACAACAACCTATTTCAAATACTCGGCCGGAGTTTTTAGTTAAAATTGGATAAACAACTCATCAAAACATTTTCTGAAAAAAAAAAAAAAAAAAAACTGTAAAATAATTATTATAAAGGAATGTTCTATTTTTCAATTATTGATTCTTGTCCTTAAATATATTTTAGTAGTCTAATAGATATTAAAAACATTATCTATTAATATTATTATTCTTTTTCTATATATTATTTACTGAGAATTTTATTCATTGTTTATTTATTATTAGAAAGTAAGAGGGGTTAGATCAAAATATTCGAAAATCCATAAGCCTTTGGATGTTAATTTTATAAAACGTAGCCGTTGTGTGTGTATGTAATGCATTTATATTGTAAAATACAGAAATCTTAAAAATTTTTGAAATTATAAAATTAAAATATTTAAAAAATTTAAAATTTTAAAAACTGTAATTGTTTATTTTAAACCAAGATTAATAATTAAAATTATTTTTTTAAATTAAATTTATCCATAATTAATATATTTATCATAACTATAATCAAATTTAAAATTATAATAAAAAAATTTTACATGACTTTTCTATTGCAACTTATTAGAATTAAATTACAAACAATATTTTAATAAAACATTTAGTTTTATACAAATTATTATAATAAAAAATTCTTTAATAATGTTTTGTGTTGTATAATGTCTATTTCTGTTATTTTTTATAAATAACGGTTAAATTTAAATTATTATATATTTAGTAACTTATTTAAAAATTATATATGTGCAATGGTGATAAACAATTTATTTGAGTATAGGAAAGTAAAAATAATATATTTAGTTAATAATCATTTAGTTTCACACAAAGATTTTTTAGTAATTCTTTTATTGTGATAGAATTTTTAATTCTAATATTTCTAAGAAAATTAATGATTAGTTTAACTTAATAATTTATTTATTTTAAGACTATATACTGACTTTAGTACGAATGATCTACGATGGTATGTTATTTACGAATCAGTGAACAGGAAACTATTTCGATAAGCAGGCTAGGCATCAGTAACTTTATGCAAGTTGCACCTTTTCGTTATAAAACTAGAATTTGCGATTATATGATGAGAATATTAATCATACGAGGAAAACACATAAACGTGCATTATATCAATTTTTTCAAATTAAAATACGCTTGTATCATTATATGCTTGTTATTTGTATTGACATATGTAAGTACGCATTATACTAATTTAATATAGCACCAAACACTGTATTAGTTTTTAAGAGATAGTTTTAAGATAAAGCTTTCGCTAAATATTTTTACAACTTTAAAAAATTCTCATTTATGTGAAAGTTATAAATTATGTTGCTAAGATATATGTAAGTGTAGCTATTAAATTACTTTATCTCTTTTTCTATACGTAGCTCTATACGTAGCAGTCTAATTACATATATTATAGATATTCATAAAAAGTAATCCTCTAATTTAAAAAAATTTTATTTATCTGTATTTTTAGTAGCAGAAAGAATTTATTAATTCCAAATAAAAGTATTTTTTGTAAATTTTTGAAAGTTTTAGTATAACTTCTCGAGTTAACAATAGCTCTTTGTTATTGCCGAACAATAAATCACTTCCTAGATCTCTCTATAAATTCATACGTATATTCTGTCATAAGTCAATATGAATAACGGGGTTCATATATATTTTATGCCTTTCTCTGGCTTTGCTGAAAAAGAAGCTTACGCAAAAATATTGTCCTTTTGTTAAAACTTTGTTTTTCTACAGTATGTTTGAATTATAAGTCAAGTGAAGGTAGGAAGTAATACCTTTCCCATACGTTCACTTCCGTATCTCCGCCTATGAACTTTTAAATATAATTTCAATCTTATTATACTGATTACGTCTTAAATTAATTTTTTACATAATTGATATTTGTAATTTTACATAATTAAATTTAATTAAATTAAATAATAAAAGAGAGTATTTTGTATCAGTTTTTTAATAATACATTTAATAGAAAATAGTTTAAGTTATTTTATAGATGTATTAAATAAAAAAATTTAATATACTTTTTATAACTTTTTAATAATTATATGCATGTTTTTGGGTTACTCACTAATACATTTGTGTTGGATTATATCTTATTATTGAGAATTGACTCTTATTGGTCTTTGCTTCATTTTGTTATATTTTGAATATACTAATTTTTTTTTAATTATGTTTTTATGTATTTTATTATAATTCTTTAAAAAAATGGTTTAAGATTGATAAAATATTTTGAGAAACAAATTTCTAAATTTTTTGTACACATTGTGTTTGTGCATCTATAGAAATGTGCAGTTATAGAATAAATTATGAAATTTTACCATAAAATATTATCAGATTTGAACGAGCAAGGCTTTAGAGTGAGAAGAACAATAACCGGTTCGATACAAAAGCAAAAGTAAAATTATTTGTACAATCTTCTCTTTCTCCTCTCACTTTCAATGAAAGTCGGTAAATTCATTCACCGAGATTGTGCATAATAACTATATAAGCTGATACGTAAATTGATAATTATGTCTATGCATTTAATAATTGCAAATAACTTTGTATAAACAGACGCGCGGATGCATTTATTAGATTGCTCACATAATTTGGAAATAATTAACTATTCGCAGCTAAACAAATTTAAATTGCTAATTTTAAAAATGTTATGCTCATTTTTTAAAATAGTTATTGATCGATTTAATTTGATCCAAATTGTTCGGATTTAATTTCATAATTTTGCAGTTTTATAATTATTTAGATAGTGATTTCGGTTTCATGATTATTCTCTTTGCTTTTATTCTTGCAATGTTATAGACATTGGTATTAGTGTAATCTTATATAGTATAAATGATTTGCAATCATTGGAGAAAGTGTGTCTACTTTTCTATACTTATTAACAAAAATAAAATAAATAAATACATTGAAATGATTTCAAGACTTGGAATAGACTTCTTAAATCATTATTAACAGAAATATATGGTACTAAATAATAATTATTGAGAAGTACACTCTAAAAGTGTGAAACTGTGTATTTTATTACTGAAAAACATGTAATAAATATTCTCTGATTATTAATGATGATCAGTGTAGCACTAAAGTTATTGATTTATTTTTAGAGAATGATTCTCAATATTTGATATAATTAGAGAAATAAACTATCAAAATTATTATTTGATAATAAATAATTGTATTATAAAATTGTTGTATTATAATAAATAATCTGAAACATGCGTAAGTTTTTTTTATCTTCGCAAAATAGTTACTTTATGAATTTGGATTATACATACATATTATATGTTATATTGATCTCATTAAATAAATTTTAAAAGTAATAATTTTATTAAAATTATACTAAATACAAATATATTAATATAAACATATTGTAGTAAAAAAATTATTAAAAATTGAAACATATATTACAAAATATATTTAAGAAAATACTCTTTTTATAAATTATATAAAATTGTTTTAAAATACGAATTTTTCTTTTATAGATTTTGTTAGAAATAAAGTAAATATTATGTATGTACTATACCGCGACTGATTGATAATGAACTTGTGTATTTTCTTACGAGAAACGAATACCACTCTTAATGATATTGCAATGATATGCGAAGTGGAAACCGATGAATCAGGTCGCAGGCCTTTTTACTTCGTGAACTCCGTTGCTACCTTTCGATGATAGTCCTTTCACTCTCGTTTACATTGCACTCGCTTTGCTTCTGAGAAGACATTGATCGCACGTTTTTCACATTAGTATACAACCGGAAATTGAAACACGAGTTGTATGTCGAAATTATTATTTCCTAGGCTTTTTTGCTATTTGCATGAGATAATCTAACGAGAAACCACTCAAACAGTCAATCCGTGTGAATAACCTTTTTTGTTTATTATATTTAATATAATATATATATGTATACGTAAATATATATTTTGTATATTATAATATACATATAATAGATTTATAATTAAATTAAATTTTTTACATTATATGTTATAAATTACTCATATAAATACATATTCTATGTTATAAGAATTTATACTCACATAATTTTATATATTTACATAATATTTATTATTTAATTTAATCTAAATTACTATTATATTTAAATTAAGAAAAATGTGTATAAAAGTATCCTTAATTTGCATTTTTTTAAATATGTATCCATTAAGTTTTGTATTGAAAAGGGTGTGCCTCTTCGTGATCATCGTGACTCTCGATCTCTTTGTACGTGATTTATGCTAAGACTTCTTACACCCTATTGTATTTTCTTTTCGTCGCGCCCATTGGTTCATGATTGGTTGGGTCGTTGAACTAATTGCATGAGAAGTCTAATCGCAAAAAGGAACAACCGCAAAAAACGGAGAAGAGGAGACGAGATCGACGGCGAAAGAGATCGGCCAGTCGAAAAGAGAGTGAGTGAGTGTTTTCTTCGTGGTGAACCGATTCATGGTGAAGGTCCTCGTATATAAGCCACCGTGTAGACTATGATAGTCAGTGCGGAAACACCATCGGATCTTGATCCAGAACTACAAGATGACAATCATGTTGAAATTCGTAAGTTTCTATCGTGGTCAAAAATTTAAAAATCATGGAGATTTCAGAATCATCGTATTTCTTCATTTCTTCTGGATAACGCAACTTTCGGATTACTGGAATTGACGACTTTGTGATACGTGTGTTTGATAGTGATTTCGATAAATCTCTTGAGAATTATTCACGCGGGCAAAAATGTTCATGAATGACATTACTTCAAAATGTTTCTCTTAAAATGAGATTGCTTAATTATGTAGCTATATTGAAATCTAGAAGCATAGATGATCGTGAAATATAAACTGTGATTGTTTGAGTATTGAATTTGAGGATTGAAAAATTTAAACAGCTGTAACTTTGTTAAAAATAAATGAAATTTTAATTAGAAAGAAGTTTTAATGTTTAAAATCTTTACTTTTGAAAAGTTACTGTGTCTTTTGAGTTTCTATGAATTTGGTCATTTTTACATATAAAAACTAATTATTATCCGGAGCTAAACAAAAGATAGAAAATTTCCTTTTTATTTTGTAGGCCTGTCACGTGCAAAATTACCTGCAAAAAATTTTGATCTCTTTTCACGTAAAAGTTTTTTTTCACGTAAGATTTTACTTATAAAATCATTTTTTTAAACTATTTCTAAGATTTTTTTATTATTGAATTATTGAGAATTCAATGAAAAGAGCATTTTGACTTTGATAATTCCGTTAAATTATAACTCCGTTAAAAATCATCGTATCATAATAATAAACACAAATTCTTAGAACTGAAACTTTGCTCTATCAAGAAATAATTATTAAATATAAAAAGTTTTTTTAAAAACATGACATATGATGTAAATAAAATAGCGCTAATAACTTTTGTTCTAATCCAATATAAAAATTATTTTTTGTATTGATATATCATATTTCTAACAATTTTTTATATTTATTTAAACCAGAAATTTGTAACTATTAATTAAACAAATTTTAAGATTGAAAGTGCTTACATCTTGATTGTTGAAATTTTCTACGCAATTGCTTTCGTTGTAATTGATGTGGTGTCATGTTCAATCGCTCATTTACAATCTGTCAGACAGGTCCGTTACGCTTTCATGACGATGTTATACCTTTGCAGTTTTTACTCACGCTGGTGGCGATGGCGGTCACGGCATGGCCCTCGTTCTTGGTACACGAAGGTCATGGTCTTGGAGCAGATGAGCCGAAGCTCATCTCGCAATCAGTACATTTACACGAGGTGCCGACCAAGGTGATCAAGGTTACTAAGACAGTAGCTATCAAGGTCCCTGTACCGTATCCCGTTAAGGTGAGCAGTTTTCCAAGAAAACGAAAGCTAATTAACAATTCGAAAGTATTAATTAACTCGATATTTTACAACTATTTATAAATTTAATCTTGTTTTAAAAAATTTGAGATCGGACGTCGAGATCCAAAATAACTGCAAAAATCATAACTAGATTTGTAAAACTACCAGAAAATAAAATGAAAAAAGCAAATAAAACAGAATATAATAAAACACTTTTTTCGGTAAATTTATATACATATTTATAAAAAGTAAAAATGTGTGTTCAAAAATTTCATATTGCGGAAATTTTCTTAAGAATTAAAAAAAAAATTTTTAATATAGTTAAGTAATATTTTTTTATACATTTTAATGCTGAAATTATTTATATAGATTATATGTACGTATATACGTATGTATAATACAATATACATATAATATTATAATAATAGGTATTGGAAAAAGAAAACCAGAAAGAGAAAAATAATTTTATTTCAATATTAGTATTATCTTAATAAAAGTACGAAAACATCTCAAATTTTTAATTTTTTTTCTTACAGTGTAATGTGCAAATGTTTGCATATGGCTAATCAATACTATTTTTTTTACGTTCTTTAGGTACCTCATCACATCCCATTTCCGGTGCCCGTCAAACATCCTATAGCAATTCGAGTACCACAGATAGTGAAAGTGCCGCAGCACGTGCCAGTGCCTATAGAAAAGCCAATTCCGGTGGAAGTGCATCAGCAGGTATTTATTACCAATTAAAGATAAGCTTAATGAGCTAATGATACATAACATTGAACAAAGAATTTATTTTATAAAATACTTTATAGTTACATATTTTGTCTTATATCTAAAGAACTATATATTTATATATTATTCTTATACTTGATATTTTTATGCATTAAAATTTAGAATTTTCTATTTTTATATAATAAGAAATAGAAAAATTTTATGATAGTGACTTTATATTACAATTTTAATAAACATCAATTTTTGCATGCTTTTTTAATTACTTAAAAAAGATTGATTATAGAACTATAAATAGATATAGTTGATTTAATAAAATCAGTTTGTGTGTGTGTGAATAAAGACCGTTATATATGTGGATAAATTAATTAAGTAAAAGAAGCATCAACTATAATCAAAGTTAGATAAGTTGGAATAATATTTTATATATATTTTAAATACATTTATATTTCAGATATATATATGACTGTGCCCTAATTACTCTCAGATTTGAACACAATCAACTGAACTAATAATAGTTTCACAAATTAAATTAATTATCGATGCTATTAGTATTTTAAATCTGTAAAAATTTATTATCCGCGATAAACATATATTACTTCAGCTAAAATTCGAACCTCTCGATTTTTCAAGATTGGTCTTAATCAATATTATTACTAAGTGACATGTGTTAATATTTTTTGCAGTATAAATCAATATTTATACATATATAGAAAGAGCACGCATTGAAAGACAAGCGTATATAAATAATAATAGGTAAGTTAAAACAAAAAAAAAGATCGCTATATGAATTAATTAATTTAGGTGCCGTTCCTGATATCTAAACCGGTGCCAATACCGCATCCGGTTCCCGTACCTCATCCAGTTACTTTAACCAAGCCGATTTTCATCCCTGTGCCGAAAACGATCCCGATTCCACAATCAAATCATGATGAAGGTGGCATTTCCACTGGAACAGAAGGCGGAGGTGATCATGCTAGCCATGAGACGGCCCACTATAGCACTTATACCTCTCAAGGCCATGAATCCTACGATCAGCAAAATAGCGACCAGCAGGTCCAATTCCAGCCATCTCAGCCCGACTACTCGACCGATCATTAGCTTTCGAAATGCGACAGAACGACTGATTATGGCAGTGTGCGAGGTCTACGTGGCTGAAAGGAAAAGTAAATCGAGAAATAAATCATTGACGTACGATATACGCAAACCGGTCACTTTGAAAGCGGTTTAAGCGAAATGTTAAAGGGTTTAAATAAGTAAGATACGAGTACTCTAAATGACGTTGCCCTTTCTTGGAAACTTGACTCATTCTACTTTCAAAGTCGATAACCCGATACATGAATATAAAATGGTATTTTCCAAATTTATCGCGTAAATACAGATCACTTTTGAGTTGGATTTAAAAAAAAGAAAGAAGAATTGGATAGAAAATTAATTTTATTCTTATTAAAATTGCATGAAAAAGTTTATATAATATTGATATTAATTGGAAAAATTTAAACTTTTTATTTTCTATACTGTCGTTTCGTATTATTTCGGAATATTAATTATACACTTATATACATGTTTATGTTGTCGGATATAATTTATTAAGCATTAGATTATTGTGTGATAAAAAAAAAAATTTGTTCCACATTAATCGTCATCAAAGTATTTCTGTAACGTAGAGAAAGATTTTTAAATGTTGTAAAACGATTTTTCTGCGATTAGGTAATCAATTTCTCTCTATCAAATATAATCTTCTCGCAATTTAATGGTTGAATATAGTAATAGAAAGAGAAGTCGACGAGGCTGTAACATAAATGTCGCAATTCTTCTGAATTAGGTTCTATTCAATTAACTTTGGAAGAAACGAAAGAATAGAACATATAAAATAAGATTTTTCTCTTTGATATAATTATTTCTGTTGACGCAACTAACTCTAAAAAAATGTATTTTTAATCGTTTTAATTTCTGAAGAATTGAGATAGCGCATTTGTATATATAGACAAGTAAGTTTTTATAACATTGTTGAGTTTTTGTTTTTGTTATAATTTTTCTTTGGTTACGTGAGATTATTATTTGCTATATTAATGACTGTATTCCAAAATTCACTGCCATCGCTGAGAATTCATAATTTACGTTACGTGCACTATAAATTTTCAACATATATTGGCAGTAAATTTTAGAAGACACACAGCTGGTATATATTATTTTTTAATAAAACATTTATACTTACTGGAGCAGTGTCATCCTTATTCCTCACGCTCGTAGAATCTGTTGCCTTTCGCGAAACCCCCTGAGTATAGTCATAAATATCAAGTTGCGACATTTTTTATTGGGCAGGTGTGCAAGTAGCGTTACGACTTGGACTTGCTCAACGGGATCGCTTACGATACGTGCGTATACAACGTACGTTTTGTGTGGCGTGTGCTCCGCATGCAAATTTCATTAATCGCGTGTTTAACGTGTCCTCGTTCTCCATTTAATGGACATTTCACCGCCGCAAGTAACCATTTCTCATAATGCAACCTTAAAATTTCGCTTTCGTGCCCGCGATTATACAATTTTAATCTTGTTTTGTAATTCGTAAGAGATGTCCACGTAATCAAAAGCTTAAATTGTTCATCATAAATCCGTTATCAGTTAATTTATCACGTTGATTCTTCCGATATATTACTTATCTTACATAAATCTATACACCCGCATTATTAATTGTAAATACAAGAAAGCCTATATAAGTAACAATTATAAATAAGAAAGTATAAAATATATATATAATAATAAGGTATAAGATAAAGGATTTTTTTATTTCGATTGCTTACGTTTTTCTGTAATATTTTTGTTTATATCACGACGTTTACATCACGTTTTGTAAAATAACAAATTTCTTTTGCAATTTTAATAGAAAAGAGAATATAGTAAGAGGAAGTAAGAATGTACGATTTTGTCATAGGAAAAGATTTATTTCGATGATGAACAATCAGTATAATAAAGTTACAGGTAGAAACATATAGACCTAAGTAGTCACACTTAATGATCGCGAGCACCACTTAAATTCTTTCTTCACGACAATGTCTTTTAATTTTTTCATACAAAATCAGAGGACGCTCTTCTTTTTTAGATACTTGTTCTTCCCTTCTGCCCTATAGTAAAAATATTCAAAAGAATCCCACATGAAAAATTCGCCGAATTGTCCCTTAATTTTCAAAACGTGAGGTATTCACTATAATCACACTTATCGACGAAGAAGAATATATATTAACACATATTAATATATATATCGTTCTTTGGGAACGCTTTCCTAAAGTGATCACTGAAAGCTCTGAAAGATTCACGCGGTCCAAGTGTGCTTCGCGCCGATGACGAAGAGCGCCGCTCTCGGGTTGAAATTTTACCAGGAAGAGTATCTATAGCTGGGGTAACCGCTGTAACCGCTGTAACCACTGTATCCGCTGTATCCATTATATCCAAGACCGGTGTATCCATTATATCCAAGACCGGTGTATCCATTATATCCAAGACCAGCGTGCAATTTTGTGTAAACGAGTGGCTGCTCGACTGGTACCGGCACGTGTTTGACGACGGGGACGGCGTAGGGCTGGGGCACCTTAACGGCATACGGGGCGGGAACTGGAACCTTAACTGGAACGCTGACGGGAACGGGCACGGGGCGGTCTACTGCGACAGGAACATGCTTGGTGACCTCGACTGGGTAGGGTTTGGGTACTTGAACGGGGTACGGGCGGTCGACTGGCACGGCGTATGGCACCTAAAAAGAAAAGGATTAAATTTGATTATCGATGAATGAAGTCTATATGAATAAATCTGTTTTCCTTTGTAGAGCTTATTTTAGCTCATCAGTTTATTAGAAGTCAAATATTTTGCTATTTTATTACTTACTTAATTATTCGATTTCAAAGACAGTGCGCTTTTTATTAAGAATGCAAATGTATACACAATATAGATTTGATTTTGTTACTATGAGTGATATCTAGATCGAGGTGACTGATTCCCATGACAATCCAAGACATCATGTATAAAACGAAGACCTCGCGCTCCTAATCACGCTCTACTTGTTACAGTAGGTATATCTCTCTTCGTACGATCATTACTTTATAGTGAAGTAGAAATGCGTATATGTTTCGAAAGTTTAGATTATCATATTTTATAGTATAGATCTTAGTACGTATCATTTTAGAAACTAACTCTATACTTCTACCAAATAGAAATCTCTTGAAAAATAAATAATATATCTGCATGTGAAAAGGATTCATTAAATTCATAGATTTTAACTTACACCAGAGGCAGAATATATGAAGCAAAGTTAAAGATCTAATAAAATACACGTAGAATTAAAAATAAAATATTTATGTTAATATATTTAAGAGATGAAAAGTATACAGAGAATTGTAAAATAATCTTTATCTTTATGTCGTTATTGGAGAAACCCTAATCGGCTTTAAACGATCTTTCTATTGAAACATATGAATATAGTGAAGTTATTATTTCTGCAATAAGTCATTTGTTAATTGCTTTACTTTCATCTAATTGTGCTTTTCAGAAAATTGATTCCTAGAAAAGTTACTATTTCCCATTAGCAGCAACATGTGATATTGATATAAGAAAATTGGAAGATACTATCGCAAATACTCTTTATCAAATCTTACTATCGAGTTTTCATTATACATATCGTATGTAGTCGCAAATGTTAGCATTCTAATGAAAGGTTCGGGAAAGGAAAAACATAGTAAGATCGATACCTTAACTGGGACTGGGACGTGTTTCTCGACGGGTACGGCAACTGGTTGGGGCACTGGTACAGCGACTTCCTTCGTCAAGACGGTAGAAACACCGTGGCTCACGCTGGTGAGCGGAAGGGACGAGTATGTGTTCAATCCACCGAGACCATAGTCCAATCCACCAACACCGTAGCCGTAGCCTAAGGCTCCATAAAGACCACGCTTATCTTTTTTCGTATCCACCTTCTTTGCATCGTCGCTTTTCGTTTCTTCAGCGAAAGCGAGCGCCACCAGGGCGAAGAAAACCACCACCTGTAAATCATTTAGACATTTTTTAATTATTTGCGACTTAACTACTGAAGATGGCTCGGATGTAAGCCGAAACGTATAGTTTTGTATTAATTTTCTCGTTGTTATATTTACTACAATATACTTTTTATATGATCGCACCATTAACAGCGAATTTACTCTCATTAGCCCTTTTTATTCTTGTAATTTGAAATTCTCGAGAATCTACTTTTTAATTGAATTATTTATACATTTTACTTTTTTTTTAAAAAGTTTGCAAATTTATTAATTGCATAACATGATACAGATTTAAGAATATTTTGTAATTTAATCAGAATGTACAAAAAAGAATGACATTTTTTAAATTTAATATACAAGTCGTAAAATTTTTATAATTGAATTAAAAATTGTATTAAAATTACTTTACATACAAAATAAAAACGTGAAAAATAACAAAATTAAAAATAAAAATAAAATTTTTAATTCTATTATAACAATAGTTTGCTAAGAAAAAATTGTTTGCTGTATTTCTGTGTTTTATTAATAAATAGATAAATTTTAATTTACATTAACTATAAATACATTGAAAATTAGCTTAATTTGATACACTAAAAATAAAAAATATTTACTATAAATATTCTTTGTTCATTTATTTCCTGATAAATTTAGTTATTTAAAATATTTTAATTTTACATTATTTGCAAAACTGTCTATCTTTTGTAAAGGTGGGTATCCACCAAATAAGCATTTTTTTTACAAACATTTGCAAATGTTTGTGAATATTTTGTATGTAGTGTTTTTGTATTTGAAGGCTTCGTTGAATTTATTCAGTTTGAAAATGCTTGCAAACGTTTTGCGTAATTGGTGGATATCCACTTTAACAAATTGAATGTCTTATTCTTTTTTTTTTTAAACACGAATCACTCTCGTTGCAACGCACGATCAGTTTTCTCGAGATTTTCTAGACTTTTGATACTTCTGACGAATTTTTGTCAATCAATTTTTATAAAAAAGTTCTCATATCCGATTATACCTTGGTGTTCATGATGCTGTACGAATTTCGGACTCGGTTCGTCGTGTTTGCGACTGATG